AGGTGATACTATTACCTATGAAAAATGTGAAATCACTATAATTTTAGATTTTTAATAGTAATAGGAATCTATAATAACAAATTCAACATGCCAGCATTGTTTAAGTATATGTATAGCCTATACATCCTTAATTAGATTTCGAATATACTGCTGTTGATTTATTAGAAACAGATACGATCTCTGATGAAATATTGCTTAGGAGAAGGCTGTCAAATTTGTCAGATAAGTAAACGGTAGGGGGTTATCTAATCAACTTTCGATGTAAGCAATTTCGCGATGTTTGTCGCATAAAAAACAGCACGAGACTGGCGCGACAGATAATTGTCTCGTTGATCGGCCACGCGCTTGAAACGGCCATTACGTCGTCTTCGAGGAAAAATACAAATTGACAATACGATTTTGAAATATGATCGACAGGCGCCTTCATGGACGCGACCGGAAGCTACGACGCGTCGTTCTACCTGTCCGGTAGCCTGATCCTGGTGTCAGCGGTGATCTGTTATCCCTTGAAGAGGATCAATACGTGGGAGACAAAGAAGAGCGGCGATCCGTCGAAATCTTGATCGGCACCGAACGGGACGTAATGTGTCTGTACATATTAAATGCTTCGATAATTTATAAACACGATATATCCGGCGATACCGGAAAAGAAGGCTGATCAGGTGTCCTAGCGTTGAATTTATAAATGAAAAGTCGGCGAGTGCGCGGACTTAAGTAAGAAGTGGGAATACCGTCCAGGTGAATCTTCGATCTCCGCCAATGCGACGGGTCGGGTTTTACTCGTTCTCAGAGAATCTGTGCGGTAACTTCTCTGACGAAGCTCAAAACTACGTTCCAGCGGATTCAAGATAAAACTTAGCATTCCCATAAAACGTGGTCCGTGCCTCGGTTCGTACCTGGGGCAGCGTTCGCACCTTCCCGGTCGTTTCGCGCTGTTTTAATCACCGACGTGCCTCTCACCGCAGGGACAAGACGCGGGGACACGTTCTCGCCTACGTGCCTCGCGTTTCGCTAGAGATTTTACTCGGCTCAGACGGTTCACTTCCCGGGAGTCCTTTATTCGTTGCCACCAGTTTGCTGTATAAACGTTACTTCTACCTATCTATAGTGATTTGATTTCATCTCGATCTGAATACGTCGATCTATTTTTGCTACGCCTCTATACGCCACCAACTGCATATACTATTTTACTGTAAACGGCGCAGACGTATTACCGCGGAATAGAACGCAAAAAGGATTGTAAATAAGATGCAAAACTATGCGAGGCATTCGAAGCGAATTGTACTATACGCGTACCATTCAATGGGTAAAGCAATGTTCTATTTATAAGTTCACCTCTTTTTTATTGTATTTATGAGAACGTGGATATTCCGAGTTAAATAGTTATGCTTCCTGAACCCGTTCAGGCGCGCGCGACGGGGCAGGGGGATGTTCCGGAAGGGAGGTGCGAAAGTTCGCTCGAATTTGAACCGATCGATTGCAAACTCGAGCTTCCGGGATATCTCGGCAGCGTGTTTCCATAATGAATAAAGCGGCACACGAGCAGTACGTATGCGCGCAGAGCTCTTTCGCTCTACTGTGATACGTGAAACGAGATATTATTCATCTGATGGGTTCTATAAAATAAAATATAAGACAGAGGAATGATCGTAATTATGATGATAATCGCTGTATGAATATGAATGAAAATATTTTATGAAACGCGTGATATAATTTACTATGCGAAGAAATATGTGATCGTGCATGCCATACGTTAGTTCTCAATACATGTGGTTAATATCTCGCGACACGTATCGTTGTGTGAAAGTCTTGCGACTAAGGTGTGTGTACTTGCATAAATGAGTACACGTAACCTCGTGGATCCGTTCCGGTAGAGTGCTATATTTATAGCATTAATTAAGTGTTAAACCGCCAACCTTTAAGGGTTGAGGATTTACTCAAAACAAACAAATATAAAAACCGTTCCTATCGTTCCTGATACTTTTCCTCTGTCTCGATTTATTTAAACTCGAACGCGCGATTAGTTTAAATCGAATTCCTGTTTCCTCAATTCCCAGAATAGCAATTGTTTCGAAGAACGTATAAGAAGAATAAAGTTGTATTGAAAATAGTGGAATTTTGTTGTGACGAAGAGAAAAAGATTAAACCGCAGTTTGGCTTATGCGAAATATATTCCATATTATGGAAAATATTTTGGAATTTCAAGGAAGGAAAGTTTTCTGTCAAAACAGAATAAGCGTAATGTTATCAATATTTCACTCCGTCCTAGGAGAAATAACCATCACGGTACATTCTTATCTCTGAATTCAGAAAAATTCAGGACAAGTTATTATCAATTATGTACACTGGATTAAGACACAGAAGAAAATCATACGAAAAAGATAAAAAAATAATGGAAATATGTATATTTTTTATTTGACATTTCTATTCCTGATTCTTGACTGTAAAGCTTTCACTCCATGAGTCTCAATGCATCAATTATGAGGCGACCAGTGCCAAAATGAGAGTACATAATAGTTTGTATCCACGTCGTTAATTTCGAATCGGACAAGTCTCGTAAATGAAATTTACGAGCTCGTTTACAAACGACGTTTCCGTGGAACTCGTGTCGGCGGGCTGCTCGCCACGTGGCACGGGCGTTCCTCAATGAATGCGATACGCGACGTCGTTACACAAACATGTAAATGCATAATTAAATATTAAAAGTATCAGACGAAAAAGGAGATAAATGATGTTGTGTTACATCGTATGTCTACGCTGCTCCCAATCAGCATCGATATTTTCTTTTCTCTCCTGCCACTCCTTTCGGTTCAGATGTGACGCAGGCGTTGAGTGACATGAATTATTCATCAGATTAGTTTACGTGATCTCTCTGCTGTTCATTATTGCAAATTAATGGCGGGGATTTAATTTATTGCTATGAATACTTCATCTTGTGAATTATTTCTGACATTGAACATATTTTTAGTGACAATCTTCTCTGGTGGTATTCCGTACGGTTTTCGTCCGAGACTTTCGGTGAACTTTTTTATACTTACAATTCATTTCACTGGCGTTTCATACATTTTATAAAAAATTATTAGGTACACAGCCGTGGAAACATAATTTTTCTAAGATCATTCTCTTTAATATTTAAGTTCGCAGTTTACAGAAAGCTCGAACGCTTCTTTTCACCACAACGTCGCATCAGCCGTGGAGAAAAGATTCGCTGAGATTAGTTCGAGGAAGAAGGTCGAGATGAGGCGAAAGTGGCGTGTTTAACGAACGGCAATAATTTATGCTCAGCTAGGGGGCACGAAGCCGCGAGAGAAAAAAGCTCCGCTTCCGGTGCCCCGGTGAGTTCGAGCAATGAGCGAAGTCATAAATACCGGAAAGGCGGTAGCAATTCGCTTTTACGATCGCCATACCGGGCCTGTTCGAATTGCTATTTCCCACCCGCCCTCTCGTTTCCCGAGAAACTGTGAAAAATGTGGTGCACCACATTGAGCCATGAGCCACAGAAGTTCGTTTCGAGACGTTAATAGACCACCGTATACAGGATTTTGATCCGTTGCAAGTTCATCCTTTCCACGTGAAGTTTTATCTAAAGATTTAGCAAAATCTGCTTAAACGTTTACACGTTTCAATCGACGACTATTCGATAGAAATGAACCAGGTGATTCCCTCTCCTTCGTTAAATTTAGGAGAGAAAAAAATCCGCCTGGAGTTTTTATTTCGCGAAGGGCGATTAAGAATTCGTCAACCCTCGGGTTGACCCTCTTTCACGAGAACTCGAGTAGCTTAAAATCAGTTTCCTAACAGCGATTCTTTATTTCAGTTGGCTCATAACAAGGCTAGTCGAAGATAAAGCATTGTATACAAGGCATTTTATGGAAAAGGAACGCTGTGTTTTATTGGAAAACTTTATTGACTCAGACAGAAGTCGTTTATAGTTTTCGGATAACATTCTTTCATAGTAGGCATCGATTTTATAGATATCGAACGCAAAATTTATGTGGTTGCTGTATGATATAGTTTCCTCGTAGATATAGACACAATGACGATCGGAAAACGATTCATCATTACCCATCCCCTCGTTTCCTGAGGTATCCCGCGTCGAATTCCTCGGGGACAAGATTCTCGATACAACAGCTTCTTCTCTGAACACGACGCAATTACATACTTCCATCGAACGTTTCTAAACTGTTTCCTGTCCGATAGAACCCGTTTCTGTCCGTCGACATATTTCAATCGATATCGCGATTAATATCACAATTTATATACTAGGAAATTGATAAGCCGATTTGATATTACGTGAGGCTAGTCAATGCGATGTAAAAGATTTACGCGAAGGAACAACGTGCGGCTAGAATTGAATTTGCAAGGATTTTCGCTGCGGTATAAAGTCTGACCGATAGGGGCCCGTTTTAACTCGGCGACATCAATCGCTATCGGCGTTAATGCGATGATATACGAGCGCGGTACGAGGACGTTCCCATTAACCGTATCTTGAAACGACGAAGGGACAAGGGTCGACTTTCTCGCGACGGTGTCTCGAAGGCAGAGAGCGGGGCCTCTGCTTCTGCTTCCGACTGCAGATACATTGCGACATGGAATCGGGGGTTGGTGTAGGGGGTTTCGTGGTGGCGCGAGAGGGGCGAAGGGACCGGCGAAAGAGGGTGGCGCGGTGGGTCGCTCGGGGCTCGAAAGGGGGATGAAATGCGCCGCGACGCGCTGCGGCGAAGCCAGACGGAGACGGCCTGAGTTTCCGCTCCGTATCCGCAGCATCCTCCATCCCTCTCTCGCCCTCCTCTCATCGGTTTCGGTTTCCTTTCTTCGGACTCCCTCCTCGCTCGTTCGTCTTACCGATTCTGTTCCACCCTTTACTTACGCCTCTTCCCTCCTCGTACGGCTGGCTGGCGTGTCGCCCTTTTCCCGGCGCGGCGCGGCGCGCCGCGGCGTGTCCCTCGCCCTCTTTCCGTCGCACAATTTCTGCCTTTCTCTATCAACCTCCCTTCCTCCCCGGTACCCGAAGCATCGCGGTCCAGTCGAATGTCGGCCCGTGCACCGAGCAGTTCGCCTCGTGGTTTGTTCCCACAACGGTTCCGTGATCGTCGATTTCGTCCATTCGGTTCACGCGCGATCCGCTTGCCGGTTCGAGGATCACTCAGGATTCCGGGGGTGAGGACGGATCCTTGACGCCCGACCAACCAGGAGGGACCAGTGTGGAAGTCGCAATCGGAATCCACGTGGTGCTGGCGTGCGAAAGGTAGACGGGCGGGTGGGTGTAAAGTTGAAACACCGTACAGGGGGCATTCCCTCAAGTATGTCTGCAGGCTGTTTATAGCTAATGTTTCAACGAGAGGGAACTGAAAATTCCTGGGAAATATTAAATTATGTTTCTCCCTCGTCTCATAATCGTTGGCCATGAATTTATTTTTTCTCATTAAAGCAATCATTTTCAATTTCGATGAGAATGTACGACATTTTCTCAACTATAGTAGTGAGGGAGAAATTTACCCATAAAAATAGTTCGTCGATCGTTTAGGTGCCCTGCCCATGTTTTAACTGCTCTCACACGTGTTACATTAGTCTTCTGATTCGAACCAGCTATTCCCCTAATTACCCAACGCATACAAGTAACCAGACCTAGTTTACGTTATTCTCAGCAAGCCAAGTAGAGAAGCTTCCCTCAGCTTATTAAGCTGCAGCCTCTGCAAGCTCACCCCCGCAGCTACCGAAACACGGGAATAAAAAAGGAAGCAGCTCTATCGCGGCTAGAGAAAACATTCATAGCGAATTTCCATCTCCCAACGAAATTCCTCAATGTCTTTTGCTTCCTTTTTAGAGATGCATCGTGGATGCAGCAACCGCATAATGCAATGCGTTCGGTTCAATGAGAAGAAATTCTAACGGCGCGAGGAGTGGACCATTCATGGTCGAGAAACGCGTCATAAACACGCCTAACAGTCTTCGTATTCCGGTCAAACGCGATTGAAATTCGCTCGCGTGCGGACTGATTGAAAATCCGCGTCCACGTGCCGCGACTGCTAAACGATAACAATCGCCTGACCAACTACGACTTCTTCTCTCAATGCTAAATCCGAGTTTCCAATCATATTTCACGGTCCCAACGATTTTTTCTAAAAACTTTTGAAAAATTTGATAAAAAGTTCAAACACGGCATTTTTATCGCTATTTTGTGTTAGCAATTTTCCTTGGATTTTGTTCGACATTTTACTGAAAGCAACTTCTCGCGTTTTTAAGTACTGTAGGGTTATTAAACTGAGTACAATAGAAACGTGCCAAGTGCGAACACGCGTCAAGCTTAAGTAGCTTGTTCAGGAAAATTTCAGGGCGCAGCACGAAAGACGCGGGAATTCCATTTCCGGTGGAGGTAGCGGTGGCGTGAAACGCTCGCAGGCGCGGAAGTTTATCGCGTTTCACGGTTAACGGAGCGGGAAACGTCTTCGGGTGTTCAGTTTTTCCGGCGACCCGGGTTAAAACCGTGCCGGAGGTTTGTTTTCGCCGCGATGATAAATATCGCGGTTAATGGTCCGCCGCGGGTTTCAATAGGGTTTAATCGACCGACTGTGAATCAAATCAAATCGCACGGCAGTTCACACGGTTTCCTCGTCTGAAAAGAATCCGCTCGATTAAGGCCTTTCATTGACCGTTCGACAATAACCGGCTCGTTCTCTCTTTAATTAAATTAAAATTATCCCTCGCGATAGGTGAACGGTCTCAAAGCAAAGCAATTTCTTTAAGATTGTTTGTTTTGGCTCGTTCCTCAGGGGTTGGCTTAATTCCATTTCAAGGAGATTAATGCTTGTCGCTATAAGGCAATCTTATTTAAACTAAACTCTAATAATAAGTGAGATGAGATATCTTTTAATGAACTTGTATTCCATTAAAAGTAAATAGTAGTAGCCAGTTTTAAATGTAATTTAAAAAATAATCTCAAAGCTTTTAAAAAGTATATTGCAACAGAATGAATTTCAGTATAATAAATTATACTATTTCTGTCCCATAATAATAGTAGCAAAAGGAAATAAATATAGAATGCAACATTCATGAAAAAACTAGATTAAATTAAACAATAAATTAAAAATATTACACCTAATTTTGACTTTGAGTGTTTAGATAGTTTCTGGATTTCTCAATAATTTCATTAATGCATTTTAAACTCTTGCACTTCAATTGTTTTGCAGCTAATGCATTTGCGCCTTGATATTTGCTTGAAAATTATCTTTTTTTGATTCAAGGCTTCGAAATTTTGCATTATAATAAAATTTTAAGAATAATTCCCGTTTAACAATTCACTTGCTACTATTATTATGAAACAGAGGAAATATATAACTATAATTTTAAATAATTATTCATTAGATATTTTATTACGAAGCAAGAATAAATTTGATATATCATAACAGAAGAATTAATATTATTTGGTCAGCTCCATAACATCGCAAAAGCATGTCAAGCTGCTTTTAATAAAATCAATGAATAACGGTTTACATCGATTCAGCATGAATAGTTAGTTAATACAAGCTATAATTGAATCGATATAGCCTTGGGTCATGAAATCTTTTGAAAAATGGAGATAATGGATGGGTACATTCGCAACGTTTAACCAGTAACGTAAATTGCATGTCGTGCGACGTTTGCGCCATGCATTACGGCTCTATTTATGCGGCGATAAACACTTCTAAACTAGAAAATGATTAACACGCCAGAATTCGTTTCG